CCAGTAGAAGTAGGATCATTCAAAGTTTATGTAATCTGTTATAAGGTGTCAAGTTTGCATTAAAAATGATTGTAGATGGCCTATTTCCCTTTGTAGTGGTTGCTGAAGATGCAACGCATTGGTTTGAGGTTCAAATAAGTTGCTTTTGATGGACCAATATTAGAGTTTGGATTATTGGATGGCTATTAGGAAAGGGGATTTGAGGATTTTGTCAAAATATGGAATCAAATGTTTTCATTAAGCCTTATTTAGCTTCTCTTTGTTTTTCCTTTCAGTTTCCTTTTTGCTTCAGCTTGTCTGTTAATGTACTTGGAATGGTACAGCCCGTACAGGAATGTAGTATGTTACTTAGATTTTGTTAGCACTCTTTTAACTAGCCCGTATCCTTAGTATTATGTTCTAGATAGTAGTGTTGGGAAGAGGGATAGGGATGAGCAAATTGGGTGGCTGTTTTGAGAACTTTGGTGCCTACCACTTATTATTGTGATACTGCTTGGGATTTACATATCCAAAGGCCACTACGTGATAAGAAATGCAAGGAGCTTTCTTCCTTAGTGGATGTTTCAATTGGCAGTAGTGACGGATTCTAGGGTGTGGATGGGTGACATGGTCTATAACTTGTAGATAATTTCCGGCTTTTCCTGTAGCAAACTCTATTTGGAAGGTGAGGATTCCTCTTTTGTGTTGATTTTGGCGTTGGTTAGGATAAAGACTAATGATGTGCATCAAAAGTGAAGGCAGACTGTAATTAGATATTTGTATGCTTTGTTGAGCTGCCAATGAGTCTTGTACACATATATTTTTACACTGTGACGTGGCAAGCCACTTCTGGAGGAGCCCAAGTTGGTTGTTTGCTTTCCATGCAGAATCTTGGGTTGTTTTAGATTTTGTTCTAGTTGAGGTTGAATTTGTTGAGCAAAATTTGGGCCATGGGCCCTGTGCAGTTGCACACCCTGCTTTGGGTAAGGGTCGACTCTGTAAGGTTCCATCCTTATGGCAATAGGAGGAGTAGCCTACAAACTTTTTAACTAGTCACCTTCCTATCACTCTTCTGATGGGGGACAATTGTTCTCTACACACACATGGAAGTTTTCAAACACCTTTAGCATCAATGGTATCTTGGATAATTATTTGGTCCATGCAACTCATGAGTCATGCTAGGCTTGCCTCTTACATGTGTATCTGCCTTGTTTTCTATTCACTTGTTTGATCGTGTAAAGGGTTATTCGTCTGTGTGTCTGCCTCTGAGTCTTGATGAAACATGCTGTTTTTAATCTACTTTATAGTTGGCGTTTCTGAATTTGAGCAGTGTCCACTGCTCCCCTTATCGTTTTGTTACTCATGTAAATTCAATCTCATCTGCAGATGGAACCACAAATTTTGCTCATGGTTATCCTAGCTTTGCAGTTTCTGTGGGTGTTCTGTTCCGAGGGAAACCAGCAGCTGCTGCTGTGGTAAGTAAATCCTTTTTTTTGATATTTCTTTTAACTAATTAAATTTTGATTGGCTTATGTGTATAGTTATGGAAGTGTTTTTGGTGGGAAGGGGGATTTCAACCTAAACCATATATTGCAAGTGTTTCACATCAGATTTTGTTATTGAAGATGGGGATTGCCTGATGATTAGGTATTCTTTTTGGTAAAATAAAAATAAGAAAGCAATATATTAAAATTTCTATTGGATTTAAGGTCCTTAACTCTGGCTCCTTTTCTTTTATCAGCTTTTTATCTAGAATTTTTTAAAAAAATAAAAAAAAGTGTCATTGATCAACCTATATGGTAGAAATTGACCTAGTTAGAATGAATAGTCTAATTTTTTCTTTGGCATTTAATAAGTATTTGTTTCTACTTTGCAGGTTGAATTTGTTGGTGGAGCTTTTTGTTGGAATACTCGCACATTTACAGCTACTGCTGGTCAGAAGTCTTACTGAATGGATTTCCTACAGCTCCCTTCTTTTTGCATAATTACCACATCTATAATTTATCTGTTAGGTGGGGGAGCATTTTGCAATGGGCAACAAATTCAAGTTAGTGCAACCGATCTGGTAGGTGCTGATTCATAGTTGGATTTCTGTTAGTATAGATATACTCGTCAACTGGAATGTATAATTTGGAAAGTCATTACAGTACATACTTAAATCATTTAGCTGAATCAACTTGTTTAGGGATTAGATGCAAAAGGCTGACAATTTCTCGTGTGTTAATGTCCTTTTTCCTGCTGTAGTCCTAGGCTTAAGTATTGAAGCTGTATACAAAATAGTTCACAACTCTGTATCATCTGTCTAGATGCGTTCATCTCTTTTATGTCTATTAATTGAGACTAGTAATTGAGATTTTCTTGTCATCTTCAAGTCTTATAAATCTCCTTTAAACTTCTGAAATGAGCTTGCAACGTTTGCATTTGTGTAGGTGGAGCGATCTCTTCTTGTGACTGGCTTTGGCTATGAACATGATGATGCATGGACTACAAATATTAATTTATTCAAGGAATTTACAGATGTTAGTCGGGTATGATGACTTGTTTGTTTTATGATGATGCACTTAACCTCTTTGATATGAACTATGACTGAGGTTTCCTCTTTAGCGGGTAGGGTGTGAGGAGGCTTGGTGCTGCAGCAGTGGACATGTGCCATGTAGCTATAGGAATTGCTGATGCATACTGGGAGTACCGTTTAAAGCCATGGGATATGGCTGCTGGTGTTTTGGTAATATGGCTCTACTTCTTTATCCTCTTTCATTCGCTCAGAAGCTAGCATCTAAGATAACAATAAAATATTGGTGGGACTATGATTTTTTTTTATTATTTTTATGATAAAAAAGATTTTAAACCTGACCTTGGTATGAACTATGATGCCTGAATTTTTCTTAATCCTTTCTTTTTTAATCGTTGATGATGCGTAATCCTTAAAGTGCCTGATGGTGCCATGATACACAAGGAACTCAGTTATCCAAATGTTTCAGTAAACGGAAAAGATTTAGATTGCAGATGCACTGTGTGCACTGGAAGCTTCCCAAGTAGGAATAAATTAGCAAAATTATATCCATATGTTTTCAAATTGGCATCTTTTCAAAACATGATTGATTTCCATGATCTTGTTCAGAGGAATGACAAAAGCAGCTTAGGAACGATCTTGTAAATAATCCTAGTTCAGGCACTTTTGTGCTTTGCGAATACTATGACCGTTTCTTATCCCACTTTATAGTTACTAGTAGGTATATTGACTCATATTTTCAAATTAAGTTCTGTATGATGTTCAAACTGGTTTTTATTATTCCATTATTCTGGCCGTTTGATTTACCTTAGCATTACAGTATCTAATTGCTTTCTCACTTTTGTTAAATGATAGCATAAATGTGGGCCTGATGTGTTTACTATTATGTCAAATACAAGCTTTAAAGAGCATTATATGGCGCTTTCTTTGAATTTTTGAAATTCTTCCTGTCCAATTAGGTATCTCAAAACTTTAGGATTTTTAGTTCACTCTTAAAATGCCGATAACGAGCTTGCCAAGTGCTAATTTCAAGGGTTTTCCATGTACATTTCCTGTAACTAGTAGAACTTTTGGCTGAATTCTTTTTTAGTAGAATAATAATGTACATAGTGCTGCATGGATCTCGTGCTCCTAACCCCTCCTTAAGCAGGGTCTTCAATAATCATTTCATACGTGATGTATTGGGGAGCTGCAGTTTCCCAGTTAGTATTTTTAATCTTCCTATACCAAATGGATGTGAAGCTGGGTAATATTCTGCCTTGTTTTATTTGCCTTCTTATACAATGATTTTCCCTTTTTCCTCAGTAAGATCAGGTTCCTGAAGCTCCAAAAAACATCATTTTAGTTGTGGTCTTTTTTTTATGAAGTTTGCTTTAATACTTGAAATTCTAACAATATCCCTAGCTTGAGTGTGGATAAGGAGAGATCGGTTGGATAGGGTAGATGATTGTCAAGGTAACTGGTAAGTAATAAAATAAGACATTGGTAAAAGAAAAACAGTTTAGAAGGAAAATGCCAAAATTATATATACAATTTGGAGAATGATATGTCTGCTCAAACCCTTGCATGTGTGTGCATGCATTTGTGCAATTATGCCTATAATTTAAATCAAATCATGGTGAATGTGGTGTCAAGCAGTTTTTGTAATGTTATAGAATGGTATTATTGTTTTATCTTGTCCTCTAGTTACATGTTCATTGATAAGCCTCAAGTTAGATTGCTTAGATGTCTTGTTTATGCCTTGTTTCTGACTTGATTTTTCATAGCATGTCTATACTTTTGATGAAAGCCTGCTTATAAACGAGCTTGTGGTTTTCTTGAATTGAGAATTCTATCTCATCTTACAGTTTTCTTTCTATGCAGATTGTCGAGGAAGCTGGTGGTGCTGTTACACGCATGGATGGGGGGAAATTTTGCGTATATGATAGATCTGTTATTGTTTCCAATGGCGTGCTACATTCAAAGGTTGGTTATTATTAGTACAACAAAATTGTGCCTTAGAAGTATAATTTTTTTTTTCCCCTAAGTGTATACTCGTAGTTGAGGTGCATGTATTGATTAGTTGGATGTTTGTGCAAGTGCAGCTTTTGGAGAGGATCGGCCCAGCAACAGAGACTCTAAAAGACAAAGGCATTGACTTATCTTGGTGGTTTAAGCCTGAGAATTATTGCACAGATCTTTGAACATCGGCATACTTGTATATTGGTTTTCCCGTCTCATGAAAGCACACAAAATTTGATGTACCTTCTGTTTTTGTTATACTAGGCTATAGGTTTGCCAATTCTTTTGTTTCGATATTTTAAGCTAATATTGTTGTTAAACTAAGATATTGGACACATACTGATCAGAGAAATTAATTTGAGTTTTCCTTTTTGTAAAACAACACTCTATAGTTCAGGCTTGTTAATTTTCAATTTTTTAATTACTCCTGATCAATAAGAGTTAGAACCATTCATTTGGAGATCCCAAACTGTACTCTTAGGAAATTGCGGTTCATGTACAACTCTGATAAAAGTGAACAGATAACTCCTGCATTGAGTGGCGAATAAATCTTTACACTAGCAATAGCCTTATATGGAAACCTCAAGTTATTTTTAATCGGTAGTGTTTTACAGTACAAATCCATATAATGTTTTTGTATGAACTATAAATGTCCAAATTGTAATTCACAAATCACAACTTGGAAGCTGTGGCAGGCTGTGTGAATTGCTGCCGTAGTACCCTTCTCATTACCTTGCTGGTCGCTGTCCTAGGAAGAGAGGGTAGAGAAACAACTTGAGAGACCTGCAAATTTCGAAAAATTGTCATGGAAAACGAAATTACGTAGCCATAAGAGGGAAAAAGCCAAGAGGCCAGGAAGAAAGTTCACCCTAAACAAAGGATTCAGCTGTTTCTGGAGTGTGGAATTGAAAGATATCTTCAGCTGGTTCAAGTCGGGTGTGGATTTACTAGCATCTTTGAAAACAACAGCAATTACCAGCTGCTCGGGTCCTCCTTCCAAAGGTGGGACACCGACAGCAGCTGTCTCAAGGATGCTGCTATCGACCCCATTGCAGATACGCTCGATCTCAATGGAACTTACCTGATGTAACATTAGATGAGCTAAGGAATTTCTCATTGGTAAGAATTTATAAGTTAGATAATTCATTTCCACATGTTCATGGCAACGTATAATCACAAGCATGCTGGGGCAAAATTTAATGTTATGAATTTAACTCTCTTTAGGTCAAGGCCGTGATAATTCATAAATTTTGATGCTGCAGACCAAAGCCTTCATGTAAATAGTAGGAGCTACATGTAAAAGCAAAAATCAAGAATGTTGTTCCAACTCCCAGTCCCAGCATAATGAATATGGCACCTAAGACAGTATTTTCTTAAACCTCCCAACAATATCTTCCAACTAAGCATGCACATTCACAGGGTTCATCCAATTTACCAGTAAGAAAATTTTGTGAAATAAAGGGAATTTCAGAAATCTCAAGGGTAAAAGTATCCAGACCTTGATACCACCTAGGTTCATAGTATCATCAGCACGGCCATGAGCTCGATAATACCCAGTAGAAGTACGCTCAAATACATCTCCATGTCTCCGCAAAAACTGAGTGAAGAAAAAAAATACAATTTCAAAATATGCAATGGAAGATAAAAGAGTCCAAATCTTAATTAAGGAAATTATGAAGAATAACTTCCTTTTATATCTTGGATTTTGATTTGGTAGAGACCATTTTGATTTTCATTTAACCATAGAGCTAAGGAATAGATTTTGTGCTTCAAACAGTTAAGGGATTAAAATTGGTGGGAGTAATAAGGTTGCCAGCCAAATTTGAAGTATCAAAGAGATGATTCTACCTTCCCTTTCCATGTTGGCATTCCTTTGAAGTAGACTTTGTAATGGTCGCCGTTAAGGAGTGTATGTGAAGCTCCAAACATTAAAGGACCAAGAGTCAATTCTCCAAAGCCTGGTGTGTTTTGTCGCTGTAGATAAATTTGAAAATGAAAACTCTTCATATAAAGTCCACTCAGACAAAAATTTCCCATGCTTTTTCATGAACTCGGTAAAGCAGCAAGTGAATACTAATATTTCACAGGATTAATGAAGTCAGGGAGAATGTGAGATATCAGTATGGTAAACAGACCAAAACCAAATAATAATAAGTCAGAAAACAATATATAACCCAATCCATCTATTGCTGGCATTTCTAATTATTAGCTTGGACATACATAGAAAACCATGAGCATTCATTTATGACAAAGTATTTTTTTTTTATTGGAAACATAAGTATTTATATTTTATATATATCAACATACAACATATTGTAAGGTCTAGAAATGAATAAAAGATGAGGGGAAAAAAAAAAAGTGCTGTAGAGATGCAAAGTTAGTTGTGCTTACAATTGGAATTCCATTTTTGTCAAGTAAAAAGAGGCTGCAGCCCATAGCTGGTGTGCTAAAAGCAGCTAATACTTGAGGCTGCAATAACGATCCAGTTATAAACCCACCCCCAATCTCTGTACCACCACAATACTCGATCACAGGCTTATAACATGCTCTTCCCATAAGCCACAAATATTCATCTACACTTGAAGCCTCCCCAGTAGAGCCAAAGCAGCTAGAAGGAACCAAAAAGTCAAAATAAATAAATAAATCTACAACCTCAAGATGATCAACTTGGTTTCCAACACAAACACCCCCCCCCCCCTCCACCCTATATAAACTCAGACCTTAAGCTGACTATACATTATACTTATTTTGGTAAAACATGGTATAAAAATCCACAGGCAGAAAAAGTAAATGTATAAAACTTTGGAACAAAAGGATATGAAAGTACACAGAAACAATTGAAAAGTTCAAATGATGTTAGAAACATACTTACAGAAACTATCATACAGTAGGTAACTTACCGGATGGCTGACCAATCATATCCAGCAGTGCAATTTGTACTTCTCCAAGCCCGGACGATACTTGGAACAACTCCAAGCATTGTTACATTAGCATCCTGTGGGGAAACTATATTCTTAACTCTACTAGCAACTAGCAAGAACATACTTCAATGTGAATATGAAAGTTTGAGAAGGGAAATTTGACAAAATAAAACAACCCTGGGTCATGGAAACTCCTTCAGTGACTACCTTTGGCCGATTTTTATCTTTCCATTTGCAAGTGACAGGGAAATTAAGATAAGTAATTATATGTAAAAATAAAAAAATAAAAAAATTAAACTGGATAGAGAAAAAAGGCAATGGAGAGCGAATGTTACTGAAACTCGGGGAAAAAAATTGAATAGATGAAAGAAATGGGAATATTATTCTAGGACACCCTAAAATAGATATTAGGAAGATAAAATAGAGGGAGTATATAATACCTATCCCAATTAGTAATTGTGTATATATCTTAATTTAGAGAAACGTAATATTATCCGAAATCATTTACATCACTAGTAACATATTTATATCACCAGTAAACATGGACCGAATGAAACATAAACGAATCCAAAGCAATATGATAGCTGCAGTAGTGATAGAAACTAGCAACAAACAGAAATTAATTTTGTACTCTCTACCAAAATATCTAATCAATTTTGGATCCACAAATTATTAATGTCAAATTTTTATTTAATTTAGTCAGCATAGCAATTGAAATGAAGAGCTAATGCAAAAAGAGGAACCAACATCATAGGCATACAGAACATGCAGACTTATATATCAAGATTATTAACACCAAACTTTTACCTGTACAAACTTTGAAAATCCAGAACTGAGAGGAGATCCATTGAACAAAGCAATGGAAGCATTATTTAGCAGAGATGCATAAACTAGCCAAGGACCCATCATCCAACCAAGATTAGTAGGCCAAGCAACGACATCACCTTTACAAATATCCATATGACACCAAGCGTCTGCAGCTGCCTTGAGAGGAGTTGCATGGGTCCAAGGTATAGCCTTTGGTTCTCCTGTAAGAGAAAAGAACCCAGTGAATTCCTTCCCATATCTTAGAAAACTGTATACAAATATATATGTATATATTTGGTACACACATTCTTGTCTTTCTTGTTGATCGACCATTTCAACATTCTTTCCAAGGATAATGAGAAAGAGAGTAAGGAAAGTGACAATAAGCAATATTTGAAAAACTAGTAAGCTCAACAATGTTGAAAAAGCTCAATGAGAAAGGTTTTCTCTTTGTTGATCTTTCACTTAAACCAATTCATAAATTTTGAGCAACTAGTTAACCATTCCAATCAATCATCCATTACTTCAAATGTAATTGAGCTCAGATAGACTTCACAAAAATTGGCTTTGTATAATTCAGATTTCTGGTTTTCATAACAGGGCATAAGTCCTCACCTTCCAAATAAAGAATGATAAATTTCAATGATATTTCACACAAGCCATTGAGGCTAAGAACTTCAATCCTGACTCCTGAGGATACTATGCTAATAGAAATGTCCTTTCTGTAACAAAGTCATACTTTCTTATTGTAGAAAAACTTCAAGCACGAGTTCAGGCTGAATAGTCTAATTCATAGCCAGAAATCCACAATCTTGTAACATCAAACTTGAACAGACATAGATGTAGATTGCAGAAAACAAGCTTGCTCACCAATAAAACACAGAAGTCATTTCCTATTGAGTACCTGTCGTTCCAGATGAGAAAAGAATGTTTGTGAATGCTTCAACAGGTTGCTCTACAGCTTTATACTCCTCAGCCCTGCATATCAGTGTTTCGGTTCTATGAAACTCATATATCAGGCTCTTAAGGGAAACATGTTTAGTTGAATATATTTAGGGTTACAACAATAAAGAGCTTGAACACCCCCCCCTCCCCCAAAACACACACACACACACACAAATAGTACTCCCACTTGCCACTGCAACAGTAGGAAAGGAAGGACAGATGTAGGGAGGAGAACGTATAAAGATGAAGAAGCTCAAGGAACATACTTCTTAACACCTTCTCGGAAGACATGCCAAGACATGTCACCACTGCGTAAGCTAATGCTAAAATGGGATCCTCTTGTAGGAATAACTATTGCCATCGGTGATTGAGCATCAATAACTCTCCTGCAGAAATAAAATTATGTGATGACAAAGCAAAGTAAAAGTATAAAGAGAAATTATTTTCCAAAACCTATTGGAAATCACACCTATATAGGGGTATACTTTTACCACCGCGGACAATGATGTCCTGAAAAATATTAAGGAGATAACTCAGTGATAGCCATAATCAAATCACAGGCCAAAAAAAAACCAAGAATTTTTTTAGATGAATTCTGAAATTTAATTAAAAAATAATAACAGGTCATACCATATCTATCTAAGTAGTAATGTCAAGTGTTATACAGAAAGATCTACATATTAAGTACCAAACAAACAGAAGATGGGTGTATGATTATCTCAACAATCAAAATACGAGGCACAGCATAGGGCAAGAATATGATAGTTCTGAAACCAGCAGCTTCAGTGTCTTAACACATTGCTTGACTATTATTTTTTGTTATAATATCTCATTTTTTGACAAATAATGTACAGATAAATCATTTAGTATTTTCACTTCCCAAAATCCTAATTAATCATTTCACAGTAAGTCATAAGAGAATTACAATCAAAGCTTCATAAATTCGTGAGACAATAATCAGCTATGATTGATTAGCTGAAATCAAGAAAGAATATACTCTGGTAGATATTTAACATTACTTCCAACTAACAGAAATTCAATATACAATGAAGGGGATAATGCTTAAAATTGAAAATCTCTGTTCTATTTCCTTTTCTTTTTCCAAAATTCAAACTCCTTTTCCTCTAAAATGATCACCGGCATCACCCTATCTCTTCTTGTCTTTCACTGCAATTTTTACATGGTGTGGGTGCCCGGTGCTAAGAAATCCACTGCCAATCTCTTCACTTTGTCTTTTTTGTTCTTCTTTCAGGTTAGGACATAAGAGTGATAGTTTTCAGGTGCTCATTTAATAGGAGATTAAATCTAAAACATTATAATCTTTTAAAAGCAAATATCCTTTGAAGGAAGGCTTCAATGATGTAATATATACAAAAGTCTAGAAGAATCAAGCTGTACGAGGTAGGAGTTTGAGATTTTCATGGCCTTCAGAGCAAGGGGGGCAGAAATACCTGTGTAAATATGGCTTTTGCTTTTGTTATTCTTAGCCTTGTTGCTATTTCACTTGGTGCAAAACTATCAGCAATGGAGACAACAATATTGCCTGTAAGAACAATGGCGAGATAGATAATCACAGAATCAACATTCATTGGCATATCTATAGCTATTGCTGATCCTCTAGGAAGACCCAATGCATCAAGTGCATGTGCAACCAACCTGCAGATTCAAGAGTTAAAAATAAAAAAATCAGATGGCGAAAAAATGGGAATAGAATTAGATAATATTACAAACAAAAGTAATAGAAGAAGACATTATCTACTCCAGAGCATTTATTTTTTTAAAATGTTGTAAAATTAACAGCCATCTTCTGAAAATGTGTCATTTTTGAGAACTCCGATCAGCTAAGAATGATAGAATGTCCACCTTTGTGCACAATCATCTCATTACCAATTTCAAAGCTATAAGCTCAAACAGACCCCATTACACTAAGATGGGTTGGATGACTATTTACTGCAAGTGTTCATGGTTGTCTAGGTTAGATGATTATCTTATACAAGTGCTCAAGGATGTCTACTTGCTCCAGAAAGCAATGTGCTTCAACAGACGACTGCAAGAGGCTTTCAGAGGTCATGAATGTACCAACACCACAGAGGTCACAACAATTCAAAATAGCATATGCATCGTGGAATATAACGGACTACCATTTCTTCTAAAATCTCAAAATTTAAAATTCGATTACTTAATGTTGTTATGGCAGTAATGATCCACAGAAGCAAGTAGCAGTGATTTTAGCAGATAGATCTCACAACAATCCCTCCCCTCCAGTACAAGTGTACAACAATTTAAACAAATCCTGATGATAAATTGATTTCAGGATTAGCAACAAATGCAGAATATTTAATGTTTCAGATGAAAATAGAAGTGTTTTTATTATTCTGATGGCAGCAATACATTAACAAGGGATCCATATTACACAAACAACCCCTTTTACATACTTCAAAAAGATCAACATCAAATAAACATCTATTTATTGACATAGCTAATAATTTGGTATACATTTTTCTTTGTATTACATTCTTTCTTGCATTAGTTATCGATTTTTTCGCATAGGAGCACAAATAGACCCAAAAAATGAAACTAATATAAATTCTTTTCATGATAGTACCCCAAGCTTCAGGCCTCAGGGTATATTCTTTTCTTCCAAATCTTCATAAACTATCAAACGCAATTATACCAAATTTTTCTTAAGTTAGTGAGAATAGCAAATACATAAGAGCGTAAAACAAGGCAACATACCACACCTCTCTGCGCAGCTCCTGAAGTGTCATTTTCTTTACAGGCATATTGTCCTCTCCTTCATCACGCCACAAAACAGCAATGCTATCTAAATTCCTCTTAGCATTTAAACTCAAACAAATTTCTGCTGGATTTAAATAACATCCTGGAAGCCATTGGCCACCAGGATAAGATGAGTTATCATTCAGAATACAGAGAGGTGGTTTGGTAAATGATATATCCATCTCTCCCAGTATACATTTCCAGTAAACCTGAGAAATAAATGGTTGTGATATAATTACAAAGAAGAAGTTTGCTCTAATTACATGGAAATTCAGAACTCATCTGAGATAACATACCTCAGGGTTAGAGACAGAAAATTCCTGGAGCTCAGAAAAGCTCGACATGGGATCCTTATATTTCGAACCTAATAATTCTTTTCCTCGTCTTTCCAGAAGCTGGCCAATATTAGTCAGCCTTACACTTTCCCTATAAAAAATGCAACAAGGCTTGAGCATTAATCTGGGTTTCACAGATAAAATCATAGAGCTACAAGATCTGTCAAATTATTTATAAATACACATAGCAATATATACTGCTAGAGCTGAAAAAAGGAGCTTGCAATATTTCATTGCCTTATTATTAGATTCAACACCAGATATAATATTAGCACACACTACCATTTTACAGTCAAACTCTTGTCATATGCCCAAACTGTTCTGAGTAGAGTAAAATTGTGTAACTGATCAGGCAGGCATCATCATCACTACTCAACCCCGGTATAGTAGAAAGATTGAGGTACCCCCTTACTTTCTATAGATTGAAATTCAAATGTTGCCAGTGGTCTCAGGTAAAAGTTTCAGAAATGCTTCCTAGCTATATGCTCTGTACTTTTTGGTAGGATTACTAGCATTACAAGGATGTCACTAACATTGAGTCGTTGATGCCCCATTATGCAGGGGTTAATGGTTACTGAGTCTAATGTAAAATGTAATTGTGTATGGAAAGTCTCGTGTCTATGTGAACAGTAATGCAACTCCTTCCCTTGGTAATGCAACCTAATGTAAGAAATACGTGGAAATGGAAAAGCAGTACCATGGACACAGACATGAAACGTCCTTACAACAGTACATGTCAATAGTATTCAACTCATTGCCTAAACTGGAATTTCCAAATTGGTACTAGGAGATTCACCTCGAAAGATAATTAAACTTATCAATACTAAATAATCAATAGTAATGATCACAGATAGCTAGATTTGACCAAAAAGTCCAACACATCCTTCTATCTTACTCTTATACATTTCAAAGTGAAAGAGACCCAAAAAAGAACTTTGTAATCATTCAACAAAACCTCCATTATACACCCAAATTTAGGTACTAGTCAATTTATTTCGGATTGATGATTCGGGTAAAGATGCTTTTTCCCAACTTGATTCTCGACTAACACTCGCAATATTATTTTAACCAACTAAACTGGTTGACATCTACCCCATCTGTATTTCTAATCATTAGTTCATTACTTCATACCAAACATCACAAAACAGCACTAATAGAAATAAATTAAAAAATAAAAAATTACTTTAAGCATTCAACAAATAAAATGAGTAAAACCCAATTAAAAATTAAAATGAATAAAATGGAGAAAGATAGGAAGAAGGATTAGGTAGCTCACAAATGGGGCAACCAAGCAGGAGGGTCAGAACCGTAATTTTTGTAGCACCCATAATACAACATCTGATGAAATGAAAAGGGAAGTTGAGGATTCAGGATTTGATTACTGATATTCTGCCATGTTTGTGGGGTTGAAGCTCCAAAATCAGAGATAATCTGAGTGAGTTTTTGGTGAATTTGTTGAGCAATTTTAGAGGGTATGCCATGAAATTCAATATCAGAAATTGTGATAAGATCAAGGGTTTTGTATGACATTTTCTCTTGATTTGATTTGATGATAGATCAATATGAATTCACAAGTGTTTTTAGCGGGGTGTTTACAGTGGAAGGTCATGATCATCAAGTTTAATACGTATTTAATTTATGGATAGTGACGATGACTATCATGTTTTTGAGATAGAATGGAGAAAATTCTGATGACTGAATTTTTGTACAATTGTACGTACTCGCACTTAAATTTAATTAATGGAAATTGAAACATCACGTCTTGTGTGCGGATGGCCACAATGTGTGTCTGCTTGTAAAAAAATAACATAATCTTTATAATACTGATCGAGTAATCCCTGTAATACTGACCGAATAACCTTTATAACACTAACGAGCTGGCCCAGGCTGATCTCGGTGATAAACTTGGAGCGTTTATCACGGGGCATAATTGTCTTTTCGCGTCTTTAGTTAGGGGTTCGAAGGTCATTTGCTTATCACGTGGAATTAACTCCTTTCAACCCAATTGCAAACGTTGCAGGCTGAAGTGTTAACCATAGTTAAGTGGTTTCACTTTTGGGATTGCGAATAACACCACTCTGCAAATTCAACAAAAACTCCATTACTAAACTTGTGACGTTTAATGCCTCCGAAAGTGGTCAGATCTAGCACCACTTTGCTTTATAAACCCACTCTCAAGAGCTTTCGATTAATTTAATCCATCAAGACCACCGTCTTCATCTTGCTCCTTCTTACACTAACACCAACATCGATATTAACGGCGGCTCCGCCGCCAAATCAAACGAAAACCCTACGAAAAATAGAGATTTTTAGGGTAGGATTAATCCTAAAGGGGTTATTGATATTTCCCTTCACCATTGAAGATGAGCTTTCGATCTAGTCAAGCAAGAATTGTATGAACACAAACTTCCGTTGATGGCCGCAAAATCACTGTATCCCGACCTGATCTAGCCACCACCACAATCGTAATTCACACGCGGATCGGAACTGGACCAGTCACCACCGCAATCACAGTCTATTGTATGCTTGTTCGTCATTTTTAGTCTTATTTTTTTTATGACTAGTTAACTCACCTTGAGTTAAAGGCTGTGAAGTAAGAGTTAACGTTAGGAATTCGTTTATTTTACCGTTACTTTGCTTTTGCATGCTAGGTGACCCACTTGGACTGATAAAATAGTTGTTTATTGTGCTTTTGCGAATCCCAAGGCATTTTTATTACAAAAATGCCATGTGATAAACCATCCAAGTTTATCACCGAGATCAACTTGGATTTTGTAGTAACCCCTATGATGACTGACCACACGGTATAGCCAGCCACATATAACTATTATTGGGTTCAAATTCAATAAAAATTAATTCTCTATTAGGTACTCTTTCAATATATATTCTATCCTAATAAAAAAAAAATAGTATTAGTATACATTCGACCTAGCGTGATATAAACCCAAATGGTCAAAATATAAATTATGTAATATGTAAAAGTACACGAAAAATTATAAAATAAGTAAAATTATAGGAGGAAAATTTTGATATATATTCAGTTTAACATTAGACAAAATCAAGGGTTTTGTATGACATTTTCTCTTGTAAAAAATAAAAAAAAAAATAATAAAAAAAAAAGTAAGTTTGACCATAGAAGTACAAATTTGGTCAGACTTAAGTATTTAAGAACAGAGAGTATATGACAACTTTTTGTTAAGAAATTCATTGACTTTGTAAACCAACTTCAATTGCTAAACAGTACTTTCTTTGTGTTTGGACTTTTTCGTTATTTATCTATATATTAAGGGTGAGTTATATTCACTTATTTGAATGCATCTAAACTTATTTTAGTTGTATAATGAATGTAAAGACCTTTCATTTCTTTGCATCTAAATTTAGGTTGTAATTTGTTCACTTGATTTCAAATAAATATTTTGATTTTCTCATACCCTTTTTCCCCTATTCTCAAAAGAGATCTAAATGAAAGGTCATGTTGGAAGTTGTCTGATACTTTTATTTACTTCAAAGTGCACAAAGTATATTTGTACTTTGTACTCGAAAATACAGAGGTACGATCCTATAGAATATATCCTGTTCTAGTAAGGTCGTTTCAAGGTGCACAAAGTATGTCATTGTAAGAATGGCTTGTTAGAGAATGGAGGGAACACTCTCTTCTTAATAGCACCAAGAAGGACTCAGCATAAATTCTCTATATAGTTGCCTCTTTTCCTAGACTTGGAATGAGACCTATCTGTATGAGTTTATAATGCTGAAAATTTATCATCTCTACAAACATCTAACGTCCCATGTACATACAGCGTGATCAATTGCACACACAACACATTAAATACGAGAGCTTAAGTTGATGCATCACAAAATCAGCCTTGCATTTATAAGAATTAGAGGCTTTTTACATAGGACCCAAAATCGAAGTACAGAAACTAACACTGTGTTTGCATTACTCTGGAAGCAATTTTCTACCAATTTGAACAGTAGAGCTTGTAGTGCCAAAACGTCCTGTGCCACCAGGGATAATACGCGATGGTGAAAATATCTGGCCCAAAGACAGATTGTATGACTCAGTACCCAAGCGGCTTTGCAACCAACCTTTGCCTCCAGAGAAACCATCTGCCATGATCCAACTGTTTCTAAATCCCAAACCTGTCAAAGTCCTTGCAACTATTTTTGCAGAGTCTGAGTACCTGTTTTCCATAATAAGATTAAACATCAATTTCAGCCAGTTACTGACAAAGTAGACAAGAAGCTACAATTACAGTAATGATCTGTAAGGCTTACGAGTCCATTATGACGATGCTGGTGCCCTTTGATAGACGCTTGAGATATGATATCTTCAAAGCGACTATTTCAGCTTCTACCTTCTTTGAGTTTCTCACAAGACTTCTCAACTTGTTTGGTAATTCTTCAAGCCTATATAAAGTCAAAAGGACATGTCAGAATAAGACAATTTCCCAACACATTAGAACTTATATAAACTCAACATCACTTCTTTAGCATAATTGGACATGAGAATAAAATTACAGCATTTTGCTTTCATATTCAGGCAGAAGCATAACATGATATGGCAAATAATTTTTCCTGCATAATTATGCATATGAGGCTACATGCATTTACCTATTTGCTCCTAATATTGCAATAACAACAACAAAGCCCTTAGTCCCAAAATGATTTGGGGTCGGCTAACATGAATCATCATAAGGAACCGTTTCAAAAGGGTAAAGAGCATAGCAAAGTTGCATTACAATGGCCCTATTTTATACAAACAAATTGATCATCTTGGTATCAGAAGTGGAAATTAGGTGACAAAGAAAAGTGGTACTTACGGAATTGCAATCATCCGACTTTTAGCACTTAAAGGAAGCTGGGGAATGCCAGCCTTGTTCTTGTCCTTCTCTGATCTTATATCAATCAAGTAATAATTCTGAGAGCACATCATGTCCAAGGTTTGAGCAGGAGTAAGTCCACCTGAATTGTGACATTGTATACATCAGCAGTGAGAAACTCATGCTGGTTTCAAATAGATAGAAAAGAAAAGAAAAAAGCTAGGAAAATTGGCAGTCTAAAACACAAAAAAAGGAAGAAAATACAAACAAGAATGCATGGCCATGCAAAAAGATTGAAATATATAATGTATACAGTTCAGCTAGAACAAATGTATCATACAGGCGTGCATAAACAGAAACCTTAAAAAATTGGCTTAGAACAATGAATTTTCAAACATGACTACATCCCCCAATTTAGTTAACACCATGAACATGGCCGTATATTGGGGTGTGCAAGGTGTGCACAGGCACAGGGCCCCAATAATAAAGGCCCAAATTTTTAATGGCCCGTTTTTTATTTGTGATATTATTACTGAAATACAACCGGATCTTTTAATCATCCTCATAATTAATACTTTCTCTTTCTTTAATTTATTACCTTGACTTCTTAACAGACGCTTAATTATTCCTTCAATTTCGATTCTAACGCTAATTTATCTCTCCAGATTCAACCTTCCTTCTTCAATTCTCTCAATATTTTTTTTTTATTCCTTAAATTTGTCATTTAATTATCATTCTTTACCAAAATTTTATCAATCAATTCCATTATTTTTTCTTTTTCCATGAAACTTCAATTACATATGGGAATTCAAAATGCTTTCCCCATATTTACACTGATCTACCTTAGCAACGGGAGTGAAAAAATAACTTTCAATATTTGTAGATCTTTTTTTAAAACTGTTGAATTTTTTTTCCTTTTATATCTTTCGAAATTTGATACTCTTTATCAAAATTACATCAGTATGGTAATATGGTTCAATGGTTGTAAATTGGTGAGTCCTCTGTCTTTCACTCTTTTTCTATATTTTGGGACGAAGTTTGATAATTTGATTAATTTTGCTGCAATGCTAGTACTACTGCAGTCTGCTGACATCTAACTTTTTATTTATTTATTTTTTTTTTTTATCATGTTTTATTAAGGTTATATTAAGAAAGGAATGGTGAAGGTTTGAGGATGGTATGACCAAATTCAATTTGATATGATGCATGTGTTTTTATTTTAATCAAAGTTGCATTGAGTTATTACTTTATTACTTAATGGATAAAAATCCGAATTTTGTGCTTATCAAAATTTATCGAAAATTTTAATTCTTAGCTTATAAACATTTAAGTTAGTATAAATTATTTCCTAAAAAAAAAAAAGTTAGTATAAATTATAAATATTATAGTATATAGGGCCCAAATTAAATTTTAGAACAAGGCCCCAAAATCTCGGAGACGGCCCTAACCATGAAGTAGAAATATATTCTCTTTTGCTTTTAATTCTTGATTCTTCATATAGAGTTCACGAGTTCAATCAAAAATTTCTGACTCTCCTGTAGCAGTATAGTACTAGTACAATTTAAGTATGCTAAGAGATCTTGTTTAGAAACATTGTTTACCTTTGTATCCACGAAAATTATATGAGACAATAGACCAGACTCGAGGAAGGAGGAGGTATGCAAGAAACAACGCAGCACCACCTTCTAATATTAGAGCAGGGTCTGAGTTTGAGATGGTCTCAACTGTCGACGATGCAATGGGCTTTGCATCTTCTATCACTCTTGTTGTCTGTTCTGCAGCACTTGTTACAGTCTGTCATTACAAAAGCAATATATTATTTTGGATTCAGCTCGAACAGCTAAATGACCAAAGCGTATTTTTACATTAAAGCATAGA